GCAGGAGGGGAAGACCCTCTATGAGGTGGATTGATTCAGTGACTGGGGTAATCGGGATGGGTGTGTCAGAGGCAATGAGATTGGTACAGGATAGAGCAGGGTTTAGGGCTGTTGTACATAGGGTCGCTATGAGTCGCAAACGACTCGACGGCACATAACAACAACAACAACAACAACAACTTTGTACAGCCACTACCGGTCTGTCAGTTTGTTTGTACTGTGATAGCTTGCATATTGGTGCTCGGCTAGAAACTCTGCCAACTGTACTTCAAACACCAGCAGGGCCACCTCTGATGAGTAGGTTTTAGTAGAGGTGCCACATTAAGAACAGGAAGAAATGCCTGATAACCCACTGCTGAAAAGTGAAATCCACGGTGAAAATGCTGTCTCAGCAGGATCACTGCCTGACAAGTGCTGAAACAGTAACCCTTAGGCTGGAAGGCACTTTACAATAGATGCAGCCACAGATTCAAACATACCAATGGTCATGAAGACAGTCAGGGGCCACCAATGCCTGTTTTTAAAACACAGAGGTTACGAGTGGGAAATGACTCCATGGCAGGTGACAGCTGTGTATGTAAGGGCCTTCCCCAGGTGAGGATCCCAGAGGGCACTGAGATCTAAAAGAAGGGAAGCCATGTGAAAACTTATTCTCCATAAATTTCTTTCGCAGTTCATACATGGGCAGAGCAAAATAATATGTGTAAGGAAAATTTATAATGTGTACAGTAACTAGTAAATAAACCAAAATAGAATTGCATAGTTTAATTCATTAAAAATTAGGCCCAATAAAAAGCTGAATTTGCCAAAATTAAAAGTACTTATCAAGAAGCCTTAGGGCGTGAATTAACTTCCTGTTGCTGTTTGTGGTGAGGTGCCATCGAGCTGACTAGACTCATAGCGACCCTATGATCAACAGATCTGAACCCTGCCCCATCCTCATGACGCTCTGGAGCTTTGCTCTTTTGTAACACATAAAAATTCTACGAGATCTGGGTGGCATCTCTGTCCTAGCCCCCACAGCACCTTCCCCTCAAATCTCTTCAAATTTACAACTCCAGAGGGGGCCAGAGTACCCAGTAAGCAAGGTGAGTTCAAGTTTACTTGTGTGTATTTGGTATTCTGTGGTGAGAAGCTGCGCTGCAATCCCAAAGGCAGGAGCTTCAAATCCATCAGGTGCTCCTCACGAGAAGAGTGGGCAATCTCATCCCATGCTGCTGATTGGCTCTGAAATCTTGCTGGAGGGTCAGGTGTGACTCCATGTACACAACAACACTAAACAGTTTGCTTATGTTGCTTACTGGATAATCCACTCCCTGAGAAACAGTACCTGGCACGTGGTGCTTCAGCAAATGAAGCTGGATGCATGCATGGACTTCCGCAAAGCCCTTTCCAGGGTCTTGCCCTCTAATTACTCCTTTAGCCTTGTGCTACACCCTGGGACTGAGAGGACTCACCTGCGGGCGGGGCAGGAGCGGAGGAGAGGCCCAGGAGCGCGCGCCCCGAGCGTCGGCTTGGAGGCGTCGGGCGCGCGCTCGCTCCTGGCGTGCCGAGCGGGGCGGGGAGAGGGGCGGGGCCTGCGCGGAGGAGGCGTGGCCGCACTGAGACTGGTTCGGCCCGGCTGCGGGACTGGACCTCCTGCACTTTGCCGGTGGGCCTGCTGCTTGGAGGCCGCGGCCGCGGTGGCAGCAGCTGGCGGTATGCGCGTGTGAGATGCGGTCGAGGGCAGCCGGGACACGAGCAGCAGCCGCCGCAGCAGCGGAGAGCGCGAACGCGGCCTCCTCAGCCCGGGGCGCGCAGTGGATGAGGGCGAGCACGCGGACGCTGGGCAGCCACCGGCCACCCGGTTTCCATAAACACTTGTTTAGGACTCGTTCGCCCCGCTGAGGCCCGCCTGTCTCGCCGTTCCCCAGCACCCTTACTATGGAGGCCTTGCCCGACTCCGGGCCCCAAGCCTCGGCCTCGGCGCCGCTGCGCGCCCCAGAGTTGGCGCGGCTTCGCGAGGAGCAGGAAAAGGTAACAGGCCTCGATCTCGGCCCCGGCCCCTCTCTTCCGCCCGTCGGCCCTGATCTCGGGAGGTGCCCGCGCCTCGGCGCTGTCCGGTGCCTGGACCCCCGGGCCGGTCATCCCCGAGCCCCTCCTTCCACCTCTTCCCGCCCCCGCGACCCCCTCTCCGGCCGACCCCCTCGGTCTGACCCCGGGCCCTTCTGACCCCGCACCTGGGAGGAGCGCAACTTCCAGGCCGTGGAAGTGAAAGTGTGGGGAGAAACTTTAGTCACGTGCTTTTGTTGTGTTTTGTCAGGAACCCTCTGACCCTTCGGAGGGAGGGGAGGCGTGGGGCCGTTTTTACTATGTATACAAAAATTAATTCTTAAATATGTGCGAGAGTGCTTGGAGTTCTGGATTTTTTTTAAACGTACGATATATAAATGGAATTCACTTTATTATTATTTTAGTTACCCAAGCGTTGTTTACATGAATATTCTGTGCTGTTCTTTTCTGTTATAGCATGTAACAATTTTATTAAGTTTGTGGTGTCATTGTGTGTGCAATTCCAGCGTTGGGTGGTTAGAATTGTCCAACTAGAAGGCATTTTTTAAATTTTTATTATTTTTTTGTGTGAGTGTACCGTCAAATCAGATCTGACTGGTACAGGAGATTGTCCCTCCTTCCCCGGCAGAGCATCTGGTGGATTTGAACCGTGTGCCTCTGGGATTGTAGTTGCAGCTCCTTGCCACTAGGCCACCAGAGCTCCCCTAGAATGGCATTTTATTAAATTATAATTTCAATCATATAATAAATGAATATTAAACTTCCATACAGAAGAAAAAAAAAATACTAATTTCTTCCTGAATGGGAATGGTGCATTAAAAAGTATACTACATTTGAGAAATCGTTTTGCTGTTAAGAGAGATTTTTGTGTGGTTTCTGTAGCATTTCAGGTCGATTCAGCATCCATCTCCTGAAATGCCTTAATGTTATTAAGTTGAAAAAAGTAGCACTTAATTTACTTAAAATATTCCTGGACTACTTGCACTGAAGGGTACAAATACCCACTCAGTCTAACTAGTGAAGAACTTTTTATAGAACTTAAAAAATCTTGGTTTGCCCGGGAGCCACCTGTTAGGATGGATCATTCCTGTTTAGTTCTGTTTGCTCTGAACTATGTTGATTTCCTTTTCTGACATTTTTTTTTAATGTAATAACACCACCAGTTGTTTGATTTTAAACTGGTTGTTTTCTTCTTATTTTTTTAAATGAAGGGTGAGTTAAAAATCATTTGTTTGGCGAGCTTAAATGATATGAATGAATTTTAGTTTTTCTTAAAAAGGAAAAATGGAAGAAGACCAAAAAAGATAGTCTTATATGAAATCAATTTGTTAATCTTTTACAAAATCATTTAAAGTTGCTCTATTAGAAAGCAGGACACAGCTCCCCAGAAGATACCCCATTGCCTTTTTTGTGGTAGAACTACTTCCTTCATCTTGCATGATGTGTGCAGAATGCCGACTTCATTTGCTCTCTGCTTTTTGGCATGTTAAAAAAAAACCAAACCAGCCTACACTGATTTTGTTCTGCTGTTAGTGTCTGAAATACAAAGGATAATTTTTGGCGTGCTCTGAACAGCCTTCTGGCCTTAAGTCCAGTTATACTTAAGGAGGGTAATTGCTTTTCAGTTACTGTTACTTACTATGGGAACGTGAATAACTTTTCAGTAGACATTGGGTATCTGTGACATGTTAATTTGGCACATGAAATGAGCATGTGCCTGTATGTCAAGGGTATGTGAAGTTATTCCCAGTTATGAGAATACTCCTCAGTAGTCCGCTAGGATTGTATTGTAATGGAATGGATTTACTTCAGTGGACATAGTGCCTGCGTAAGGCCGCTAAGATGTATTGGTGAGGTAGTTCTACTTTTGATAGAGTATCTAGTAGGTTGTTGTTGATTGCCATCGAGTAGATGGCATGACTCATAGCGACCCTATGAACAAAAGACTCGAAGCCTTTCTCTAAATACCGTTTCTTAAAGTTCATAGAGTTTCCAGAGCTAGGTTGTTTAGGAAGTGGATGCCACTCCTGCTTACAATATCTAGTTGGTAGTGAATGAAATTTTTTGTGTAAGATTTTAGGAGGAGTACAGTAACTCTGGTAAAGAAGGAACATTGTGAAGCCCTTGGGATGTGAAGGGGAAAATAAAATCCTCGCACTCACTCATAGTTGTCAGTCAGAACCTATTCATAGGTACTTTTCCACTGGGTTTATAGAGGCTGTAAATCACACCAGACAAGATTATTCTTCTTAATCCTGTGGGAAAACCATTGGATTCGTGTCATCTGTCTTTGGGTTGGCAGCTTAACAGCGCAACTCCTTACAATTTCCTTGAGCATCTTTACTCTCTTTTGCTGACCTTTCCAAGCATTCTGTCCCTTTCCAACATGCCCAGACTATGTGAGACAAAGCTTCACCATCTGCTTCCAAGGAGCATTCAGGCTATGTTTTTCTAAGATATATCTGTTCTTTTGGCCCTCCATGGGACATTCAGTACCCTTTTCTAACACCACAGTTCAAAGGCATCAGTACTTCTTCATTGTCCAGTGTCCAGAGGCATAACAAGTAATTGAAAAGTAACTGAGTCAGGTGCACCTTAGTCCTCAAACTAACATCATTGTTCTTCTGTACTTTGGCGAGATCTTTGATAGATGACTTACCCAATGTAATACGTATTTTGATCTTCTGACTGCTGGTACCAAGGTTGTTGATGGTGGACCCAAGTAAGATGGACGTTTTCATTCTTTTCTTCATCTACCATGATGTTTATTGGTCCAGTGGTGAGGGTTTTTGTTTTCTTGATGTTGAGTCTTTGATCTTCTGTAGCATGTGTTTCAGATCCCCCTCATTCTAAGCAAGAGAGGTTATGTCATCTGCATATTATGGGCTGTTGGTGATTCTTCTTCACAGAACCCAGCTTCTTGAAGGATTTGCTCAGCATACAGATTGAATAGGCGTGGATCAAGGATATAATCCTGATTTACACTGTTCCTGATTTTCAGATCATGCAGTGCTCCTTGCTCCATTTGGCCAGCAAGCTTCTTGGTCTAGATACATGTTTTGTGTGGTTGTAATTAAGTGTTCTGGGATTTTCGTTCCTCTGAATATTAGCCATAATTTGTTATGATCCACACAGTCACTTTTCCTTTGCATAGCCAATAAATCACAGATAAACATTTTCCTAGTGTGCGCATTCAGCCAAGATTGATCTGACAACAGCAGTGCTGTCCCTGTTGCTACATCTTGAACTTCTGTCAGTTCTCTGTTGGTGTACTGTTCTAGCCTTTGGGTAATCAATCTTATTTTGCTTACATGGGATAGTAATGATAGTAATGATGTTCAATAATGCCCACATTTTGTTGGATCACCTTTCTTAGAAATGGGGACAAATACGGATCTCTTCCAATCAGTTGGCCAGGCATCTGTCCTCTAGATTTCCTAGCATCAACGAATGAGCACATCCAGGGCTGCATCAGTTGAAACTTGTCAATTGATATCTCATCAGTTTTTCTCATTCTCTTCAGTGCAGCTTGAGCTTCTTCCTTCATTGACTCTAACCCAAATATAACTTGCTGAAATTTTTCAGTATCAGCCAATTCTTTTGGTACAGCGACTGTACGTATTTTTCCCATCTTTTTATGTTTTCTGGATCATTCAAGATTTTGCCCATAGTATCTCTCAGTTTTGCAACTCGTGGCTTGAATTTGTTTTTCAGTTCTTTTAATTTTAGAAATGCTGAGTGAATTCTCTTTTCTGCAACTCCAGACCTTTACACATTCTGTTATATTTCACTTTTTTTCAAGCTGACTTTTGAAATCTTTCTCAAAGATTTTTTGGGTTTGTGTGTGACAGCAATTTTATTCTAGTCTCAGGGTCATGGAAATTGAGGTGATCTTTAGACGAATTGTTTCTGTAAAAGAACACAATTTCTTTACTATTTTACCTTAAAGTGAATGAATGACATTCAATGAGATTTTTAGTTTTTTTTTCAAGGAATGCTTTATATTTAACTTATTTTAATGAAAACTAATATATATTTTATTTCCAAATGCTTTCTGGGCCTGAAAAGATAGCTTTTGGCAGGTTTGACCCCCATTTAGATAGGGTTATTTCTTATCTTGGTGTCTGGGTGATGCAAACAGTTTGCGCTTAACTACTGTAATTCTTTTTTAAAATACTGATTTATTTAAAAAGTTTGAATGCGTTTTTCACAAAAAATCCTTTCCATTTTCTTCACCCCACCCATCAAATTGTGCTACACTATACACCCCTCCACCCCGCCCACGCTCACCCCTCTGCTTCCCCCTACCTCCCCTTGGATCCTCATACTCATTCTACAATAATAGTTTTATACAGTATTTGGCCTTGTGGGGACTGAGTTAACTCACTCAACATAATGCTCTTCAGTCCCTCCTAACTTAAGGTTAGTGTTGTGAATGCATATAGCAGCACCAAGGGAGAAAGGCCTGGTGCTCTGCATCCATTAACATTATAGCAGGAAACCCCGTGGAACAGTTCTGTGTCATGATAATAGATGGGGCCATTGTGAGTCAGAATTGATTGGATTGTGGTGGGTTTGGTTTTATTTCTTGGTTGCTTCATCTCTTAGGTGTGTTTTTCTTTCAGAAGTGCTCAGTGTTACTGGATGTTATTGTATGCAAGCCCTTTTATTGGGAAGAGGATACAGGGAACAGGAAAATGGCAGTATTATGTTTTGTTTTTTAATTTGGTAGAAAATGTAATCTGTTAAGGAATTTCTTTTACTATAGGTCATAAACTTAATGATCTAGAATTATAGAATATTTTGAGGAGGGTTTTAATACTAAGTTTGCTAAATCCATCATAGAATTACTTTATGTTGGAAATGTGGTGTCTTGACTAGGGTTTTATTTCTGGAGTAACTTCATTTTATGTCTCCAGATACTGTTGTTGTTAGGTGCTGTCAAGTCGAGTACGACTCATGGC